GTTGTACTTCCACCTGCATGGGGTCTATTTTTCAAACTAAGTCTCAGTCAATGTCCTTTCAAGTGAGAAAAGAAAAGAATGAACGAAGAACATTTCCTATTATCTGCCGTGCCAGCTTGATGTACGCCTATGGTATGCCAAAGACCGGAAAAATTGCTCCATGGCCTGTTGGTATTGTAGTTCGATTTCTTTCATAATCCAGGTATAAGTAACACTGGAGCAGTTGAACGCTTGTTAGTCGATTTCTTTCAAATCCAGGTAAAGAACACTGGAATGCAGTGAAGTGGATTCTCAGGTATCTTAAGGGCACTTCCAAAATCTGCTTATGTTTTGGTAATAATAGACCTGTGTTAGATGGTTACACAGATGCAGATATGGGTGGTGATGTTGATTCGTGCAAATCAACTTCTAGATATCTGATGACCTTTGCAGGAGCAGCAGTTTCGTGGCAATCTAAATTACAAAAATGCGTTCCACTCTCATCCACTGAGGTTGAATATATCGCCATTACAAAAGCTAGCAAAGAACTCTTGTGGATGAAGAAATTCCTACAAGAATTGGGTATAGAACAAGAGAAGTACATTCTGCTATGTGATAGTCAAAGCGTGATACATCTCGGCAAGAATTTGACCTTTTATTTAAGGTCAAAGCACATTGATGTGAGGTATCATTGGATACGTGATGCGTTGGAGATGAAGTCATTTTAGATAGAAAAGATTCATACTGATAACAATGGCGCTGATATGATGACTAAAGCTTTGCCTATGGAGAAGCTTGTTACTTGCAGAAAGATAGCTGGTATGGCTAACGTCCCCACTTGAATGAGCAGGGAGAGATTTGTTGTGGCAGTGCCCACTCAAATGTGGGACCCACGCGCTTTTGTTTTGAAAAAAAAAAAGGGAGAAAACGCGTTTTTTCTTCTCCTGTAAATAGAGGGGAGGATTTGCATCTATACACACAACAAGAAGAACAAACACAAAAGAGAAAGAAAATCTTGTGTTTGAGAGAGTTATTCAGTTTTAGGAAGGGTCCTAAAATTAGGGAGAGAAAAATAGTAAGGAAATTATTTTTGGAAAACACTTTTGAGTGCCACTATTTTGTATTACTCTCTTTGTAAGCCTATTATTTTTTTGATAGTGGAAGAATCATTCGGAGTTTGTCCCGTGAACGTAGCCCTAAACAGTTAAGAATGAACCACGTAAATTTCTATGTGTCACAATTTTACTTTTCCGCTGCCGTAATTATTTTCGTAATCTTATTACCGGGCCCTAACAATTAGTTATTTCAATTCACTATATTAATTTTCTATTAACTTCAATTTTTTTGTTTTTAATTGTGCTATTATTGTAATCTATTTCTAATATTTCTATATTAATATAACAGGAAAGTAAAAATGATAAATAAACATAACTAATATATACTAATATGCATAACTAATACGTAAATGAATTTTTATAGTCCGCTTCTAATGATTTTTAATTATATAAATGAATTTTTAATTCACTTCTAATGATCTTAATGTAAATGAAAAAATAAGCACAATATTAGAAATATTATATAAAATTAGTCTAGTTATAATATAATTAAGCAATTAAACTTTCAACTGACTCTACAAAATAATTATGCTAATCAACATGTAAGGCTTAGTTTAATATAATATTATAAATTGATAGTTTATTATATTTATTAATAATATTAAATTATTTAATAAGTATTCGTGTGAACGCACATTGCTAAATACTATATATATTGACCGATAAAACCAATTAGATGATATCAAGAGTATAAAAATATATATGAATGAGGATGGAAACATTGAGATCACCAAAAACATCCCTATTAGTTTACATTAAAGATTTTAATTTTATTTATTGAAAGTTAATGATAATTTAATTTTTATTAGTTATATTAATTTTCTATTTAAGTCTAAATTCTATAAATTAATATATACACGATAAAGATTTAATTTATATTAGCAATTTCATATAATAATGATATCCAAAATTATAAAATGTTTGCTCTAAAAAATGATTTAATAATATATTATACTAGTCATTCTATCTAATATATAAATGTAATAAGTTAAAGTCAATCTAATTCCTGCTTTAAGAAATTTTATTATTTGTTAGGTTATTATTTCATTAAATATTTTATTTTCTACTTTGTTTAAGTGTTCATTTATATTATAATTTATAATATAATTTATAACAAAAATTAATATAAAATTATATACAAATTAAATTATATATATAAATTAAATTACATCTATACTTGCAAGGAGTAAAAGTTAACGATTGCAAACGTGCAACGGACGTTGAAGAAAAACTAGTAAATCTAAATATACAATCATATTTCTGTATTTTTTTTAAAAATCTGTAATTTATTTTTATTATTATTAAATATTTATTATTTCAATAATGAAAAATTGAAAATCTATATATGTATTTCCAATTACAATTTACAACCGTTGTCATAATTAATTGCTTTTTTTATTTAATATTAAATTTGGTTTTTTTATTCTTTTTAACAATTGTTTTTATTTATAAATTTTATATTTTTAATTTTATCTAATAAATATATATAAAAATTCAACTCAACTGTATTGAATCCGGTCAAATATTCCAAGTTGAGTGAATTCATATTTTCACTGGTCAATAGCCAATTTAATTCTTAGAAAATTAATTCTAACTACTTATGAGACCGGATACAAAGGTTGATTTCCCTTAAACTTCGTTTGGACTTTGGTTGGGGTAGGTAATGGTCTCTTTCTTTTTCTTTTTTTTTTTTTTTTTTTTTTTAAATTTCATAACTAAGGTGTTGGTGTGAAATTATTGGAAGAAATGGTTATATATTGAAGACTTTATAAAAAATAATCCACAAAAAGGTTATTATTTTATTTTAAATTAATTAGATTATTTTCTTGTTCACCGATGTAAATCCCACAAAAATCATCTCCATTTGAAAGTTTTTAGAGAAACCCTATTGACCAACAAATTTCATAGGTGGGGTAGAATTTCCGACTCCTAATATATCAAACTTGCTCCAGTCTTTATTAGAGTTGAACTTGTTCTTAACCAGAATAAAGGTTAATCCTCGTGGATTGATTGGCATTTGCCATATGCACAATATTCTTCAAGTTTCTAGATAACAAATTACCTATACAGTGAATATTAACAAACTAACAGGAAATATTCCTTATTCTATTGGGAACTTATCAAACTTGGATGCTTTATCGCTAGCCGACAATAAGTTGGTTGGAAAAGTACCTGAGACTATAGGACAGCTGCAGAAGCTTTTTTTCTTGAGTTTTCGTACAAATAGGCTTTCAGGTAGCATTCCTCTCTCTTTCTTCAATCTATCTTCCGTTGTCACTTTAGACATTTCTGAAAACCAATTTGAAGGCAATTTCCCTTCGGATTTAAGCATTTCTTTTCCAAGCATAAAATACTTTGTTGTTGCTAATAACAGCTTCACTGGAAAATTTCCTTCTTCATTGTCCAATGCCTCAAACCTAGTGGAGCTTGAAATGCCTGTAAACAAACTTACTGGAACTGTGCCTTCTCTTGAAAAGTTGTCGAAACTCAAGTCATTATCCCTTACTAGAAACCATCTAGGAACTGGTGGCGAAGCCGATGACTTGAGCTTTCTCTACTCTTTGACCAACATCACTTCATTAGAACTGTTGGCCATAAATGATAATAACTTCGGAGGTATTTTACCTGAAACTATAAGCAATTTTTCAACAGAGCTCAAAATGTTGTCAGTAGCTCAAAATCTAAGGAATCCATACCAAGCAGAAATAGGGAATTCTGTTAACTTTGCAAGCATTTGATTGTTTCAGTCCAACCAACTTTCGTTGTCATTCCGACGATATAGAAGGCTTCAAAATCTAGGGGAATTAGGCTTTGAAATAAACAAGTTCTGTGGGCACCTTCCACCCTTTTTAGGAAACTTAACAAAATTAGTTAAGCTCTATGCAGGGGCAAATAATTTTGTGGGTAAAATCCCTGCAAGTCTTGGAACTTTCAAATACTTGGCTTATTTGGACCTTTCTCAAAACAATCTCAGTGGTTCTATACCCCCACAACTTCTAAGTCTCTCTTCATTATCAATCCTCCTCGATCTATCTGAAAACAATTTGACTGGAACCCTACCCATGGAAGTTGGAAACCTAAAAAGCCTGGGCAGATTTTCTGTTTCTGGGAACAAGTTATCAGGAGAGATTCCAAGCACTCTTGGCAGTTGTTCAAGTATAGAAGCACTAGACATGAGAGGAAACATTTTTCAAGGGCACATACCTGCATCTTTGAGTAACTTAAAAGCTCTACAATTTTTAGATTTATCTCATAACAATTTGATTTATCTCATAACAATTTGACAGGTGAAGTTCCAGAATTTTTGGCACGCCTTCTCTTGTTGCTATATTTGAACTTGTCTTACAATAATTTTGAGGGTGTTGTGCCTAGTAAAGGTGTCTTTAGGAATATGAGTGTTACTTCAATTGAAGGAAACAATAAAATTTGCGGGGGCACGCCTGAACTCTATTTGCCTACATGTGTAACCATACTGCCTAAGACTGCCTAAGAAGAGTGGATTGGGTCTTAGATTGAAATTTTTGGTTGCTATCATCATATCTACCCTATGGGGAGTCATATTGGTTTTGTTTATTCTGCCTCTTTGTGTTTCCAAGTTTAGGCAGAAGAAGAGAAGGGTATCATCCATTTTGAACTTCTCAGAGGAGAAAATGTTAGAACTATCTTATGGCACTCTGTATAAAGCTACTAATAAATTTTCTGCAGCTAATTTGATTGGGACGGATGGTTTTGGGTCTGTTTATAAGGGAAAACTTGATATGGAAGAAAGTTTAATAGCTATCAAGGTGTTTAACCTTATGGACCGTGGAGCTTTAGAAAGTTTCTTAGCAGAGTGTGAAACTTTAAGAAACATCAGACACCGAAACCTTGTAAAGGTGCTAACTGTATGCTCCAGTGTTGATTATCATGGCAATGATTGGCAATGATTTTAAGGCTTTAGTTTATCAGTTCATGGCTAATGGAAGTCTAGAGGAGTGGTTGCATCCAGTTGTTGGTGCAGATGAGATAAATGTAGCATCAAGGAGCTTAAACATTCTGCAAAGATTAAATATCGCCATTGATGTAGCTTGTGCACTTGATTATCTACATCATCATTGTGCAGAAAAACCAATCATTCATTGTGATCTCAAGCCAAGCAATATTCTTCTCGATGAAGAAATGATAGGGCATCTTCTCGATGAAGAAATGATAGGGCATATAGGAGATTTTGGTTTAGCTAAATTCCATATCGCGCCAAGCCATGCCGAAATGTCCAATCAATTGAGTTCTATTGGAATAAGAGGAACTATCGGCTATGCTCCTCCAGGTAATATTATTATTTTCAGTAGACACAGTATTTCCATACTTGAGTCCTTTCCAATAAATCTAACACTTACAAAGCCATTTTGTGCGTAAAGCAGAGTATGGCAAGGGCAATGAGGTGTCAAGAACTGGTGATGTCTATAGTTATGGTATTCTGCTGTTGGAAATGTTCACTGGGAGGAGGCCTGTGGATGGAACTTTCAACGAAGGTTTTAACCTTCATGATTATGTCAAGACTGCTTTGCCAGAACAAGCAGAAGAAATATTAGATCCTAGTCTTCTAAAGGAAGCAAAGGAAAGCAAGCAGAGGAAATATAGCATGAGAATGCTTCAGAGCGGTTTAGAATAATGGAATTCTTGATTTCCAATATTTGAAATAGGAGTAGCTTGTTTCTGCTTTGAATCACCAAGGGAAAGAATAAGCATTGATTAAAGCCACGAGTCAGCTAGTTTTGATAGAGACGGAACTTGTCAAGGCACTTAGGCGCATGGAGCTACGAATCAAACTTCAAGTTAACAATAGACATTCATGAGGTAATACAATTAATTTTTACACTTTGCCCAGCCAATTGCTTTTTCTTTGCATAGCAATTAAAGGTTTCAAAAGGTGCACTGCTGGAGCCTTATTGGTAAGGATTGAAGTTCCAGCCTAGTTTAAACAGAATACTGGTGTTTAAACAGAATTCTATCAAATTCTGTTGTTGTAGAAATTTAATGTTTACGTAAATATAGGGTGTATTCTAATCCATTAACTTGTATATATACCTCTGCTGTATATTGTAAACATCAATTCAATTTAACATATATAGAAACCTTTCTTGTTATGGTATCAGAGCCTTCGGCTCTCTAAGCTTTTCTGATTACTAATTTTCTTTCTATATCAATTCAGGTTTCTTTGTTGCCAATGGGTGACGACTCTTTCAAAGTCTCCTGTCTCCATCAACAACATCTTTTTCCTGGTACGTCCTGTGATACCCCTCCTGGTACTCCTGTGATACCCACAACTGCGTTAAGTCTAAACGCAGAAAACCAGTTGGTGTCTATTAATTCTGCAGCTCAAGCACCACTCAAATTAAACTCTACTAATTATCAGTCCTGGCATACGTAGTGGTATTTATTGCTTGTGGGCTATGATCTGTTGAAATTTGTTGAAACTGAAATTCCAGCCACTCTTGCCACAGACCCATTCTGGCTACATCAAGATGAACTCTTGCGCAGTGCACTTATTGCATCTCTCTCACCTGAATTAATTTCATTTGTTATTGGTGAAAATACATCTTTTGCTATGTGGCGAACTTTAGAGAAGACGTATGCCAAATGATCTCAAGCTCGAATCATGAGCTTGAGAGGGTCCTTGTTCAATGCGAAGATGGGTCGTTCTACTGCTACTGAGTATCTTCAGCGTATTAAAACTATAGTTGCTACGCTGGCACTGGCAGGCGTGACTGTTTCTATGGGAGAAGTCTTGCTTCATGTTCTTCGTGGTTTACCAAGTGATTACAAAGAAGTTGTGGCGGCACTCAGGGCTAGGGACAATGATGTCTCTTTTGATGAGTTATATGCTAAACTTACTGACTTCGAAAGTCAGTTATCTCACTCAGCTACCGTAGTTGTGGCTCCAACGACTATAAATTCACTGCAGAACCGACCAAGTTCTGCTTTTCATAATTCCAAGCCTGGTGGATCTGGAACTGGGTCTGGTAATCGAAATTTTTCGAATTCTAAAGGCAAGGTGTCTTGTCAATTTTGTAATCGCCCTGGACACACTACCAAACAATGTTACAAACTGAAAAAGTTGCTTCCCTGGCTATTTGAGGGATCTTAATCGCCGGCCAAACCTGTTGCTCAATCACAAGTCAATTGCGTGAATACAAACTCTGCTGCTCATCCGCGATGGATAGTGGATTCTGGGGCCAATCAGCATGTGGTTCAAGATGTGCGAAACATGGCTGTTCATTCTGAATATGATGGAACAGATGATGTTGTTCTTGGTGACGGTACAGCTCATTCTATCTCCCATAAAGGTTCTGCTTTGCTTTTGACTAAAACAAAACCGTTACAGTTACAAAATGTTCTTTGTGCTCCTGCTATTGATAAAAATTTGATCTCTGTTTATCAATTGTGTACTGCTAACAATGTTGAGGTTGCATTTAATCCTTTTATGTTTTATGTAAAGGATTTGAACATGGGGGTGCGATTGGTGGAAGGGAAACCGGTTGGTGGAAGGGAAACCGGTTAATGGAATCTATGAATGGCCGCAGCAAGTGCCTGTCTCCCGCAATACTTCGAGTCGGGTTTTACATACTGTTTCTCGTTCACCATCTTTATGGCATCAACGGTTTGGCCATCCGGCCACTCCTATTTTGCGTCTTATGCTACGGCACCTTAATTTGTCTGTGTCTGATAATAATTTTTTCTGCAATTCTTGTAAGTGCAATAAAATGCACAAAAATCCTTTTTCGATTTCGTCAATGTCTAGTACTGCTCCTTTGGAGTTAATTTATTCTACTGCTCCTTTGGAGTTAATTTATTCCGATACTTGGGGACCTGCACCGGTTACTTCTATTGATGGTTTTTCTTATTATCTTATATTTGTTGATCACTATACTAAATATGTCTGGCTATATACTTTGAAACGTAAATCTGAAGTGTCTGCCATCTTTCCTGTGTTCAAAACCTTAGTTGAGAATCATTTTAAAACAAAAATTGGATCTTTGTATTCTAATAATGCAGGAGAGTTTCTTCACCTTATGAGTTTCTTCCAAGCACATGGTGTTTCCCATTATGAGTTTCTTCACCTTATGCAAGGGGCCGCCGCCGAGCAATTCTGCCTATAAAAATGGCCTCCGGGTCTTCATTTTGGCCACTCCTGTCTGTGTTGACGGACGATCTTTCTCCCTCACGCTTTTGTGATTCTTTTACCACTGCAGTTTATTTGATAAATCGAATGCCTACTCCGATTCTTCACAATCAATCACCATTTTTTAAACTTCATAACAAAGAGCCGAATTACACCAAATTAAAAGTCTTTGGCTGCTTGTGTTACCCCTGGATTCGGCGATACACTTCTAATAAATTAGAAAAACGCTCAACTTTTTGGGTTATTCTGTCAATAGAAGTGCTTTTCAGTGTTATGATCCTGTTGCAAATAAGCTTTACATATCTAGACATGTTGATTTTGTTGAATTTACGTTTCCATATCCTATGCAAATAAGCTTTACATATCTAGACATGTTGATTTTGTTGAATTTACGTTTCCATATCCTACGTTCCAAACGTCTCCTAATTCTAGTCCAACTTCTGATTCGATTGATGTTTGGTCACCACTTCACTATATTTTGCCAGATACTCGTTCTTCCAATTTTGTGCAGGATTCAAGGTTCCATTCTTCGGCTTCTCGATTGTCCCATCAAACCTCCACCAATTTGCAATCTCCTGCGTTATGCAGTACATGTATGGATTTCTTACCTTCACCTACTGTTTCCATTCCTACCCCTATTCCTGCGACTGATGTTGAGCAGAGTATTATACCTGTATCTGTTCCTGTGGTTCAGCCAAGTCATTCTATGATTACCAGAGGGAAAAATAATATCACAAAACCAATTCAGAGACTGAATCTTCATACTGTTGTGCGAGAAAATCAAAAATTCTTTGTTCCTAAGAATGTTGCTCAAGCTTTGAAAGATCCTAAGTGGCGACGAGCCATGGAGGAAGAGTATACTGCACTTATGAAACAACACACCTGGACGTTGGTTCCTTCTGACAAAGCCTCAAATATAGTCAGTTGTAAGTGGTTGTTCCGGATAAAATGTGATTCTAAAGGGGTTCCCGTGCATTACAAAGCACGTTTGGTAGCTCGTGGTTTTACTCAAAGACCAGGCTTGGATTATGATCAGACATTTGCCCCAGTGGCTAAACATCCAACTGTCTGTATTCTCTTATCACTTGCTGTTGTCAATGGGTGGAACTTGCGACAGGTTGATGTCTGGAAAACTTGCGACAGGGTTGCTTGTCAATAAGCCTTCTTCATTGGGCCAAATTGACGGAAAGAAAGTGTTTATTGGAACAGCCACATGGAATTTGTTGATTTGCCAAATATCCTCATTTTTGTTTTTCATCTCCGGAAAATCGTTGTATTGGGTTCATCTCCGAAAATCGTTGTATGGGTTGAAATAGGCTCCACGAACCTGGTATACTGAATTAGTAACTGCTTTGCGTGAGTTTGGTTTCGAGCAGTCCAAGGCTGATACATGTCTGTTTGTTTATGCTCTTACAGGGGTTGTTCTTTATTTATTAATCTATGTCGATGACATAATTATAATAGGGAATGATGTTGCCATTGTTGATCATTTTATTATTGACTTTGGTAAACGGTTTTCGATTAAGGATCTGGGTGAGCTGCATTTCTTTTTGGGTGTTGAGGTTTCCCGAAGTTCCATTGGAATTTTCTTATCACAAGAAAATTATATTCAAGAACTATTGGAAAAGGTGGATATGCATGAATCAAAAGCTGCACCTTCGCCAATGACATTGTCAATAACGTTGGCAAAGAATGACTCCTCAGAGTATGACAATCCGACGCAATATAGAATGGTTGTTGGTAGCCTTCAGTATTTACTGCTCACGCGTCCAGATATTGCTTTTGCAGTAAATCGATTAGCTCAATATAGCTCCAAGCTAACTATCAATCACTGGGCTGCTTTAAAACGCTTGTTGCGTTACTTGAAAGGTACAAGTTCTTATGGGATACAGCTTTACTCTTACTCTCCAATGACTCTTCATGCATTTTCTGACTCGGATTGGGCTGGTAACATTGATGATCGACGGTCTACTGGTGCCCATGTCATATACCTTGGGAAGAACCCGATTGCATGGAGTTCAAAGAAGCAAGCCTCCGTAGCTCGCTCCTCTACAGAGGCCGCGTACAGGTCCGTGGCAAACACATCTGCGGATATTATATGGATAAAAAATTTGCTATCTGAAATGCATGTTCAGCTTTCACATGTACTGGTCATTTACTGTGATAATCTAGGAGCTAAGTATGTTGCTGAAAATCCTATTTTTCATTCTAGAATGAAACATTTAGCTCTTGACTATCACTTTGTTCGTCAACAAGTTCAAGATGGTATGTTACGTGTTCAATATGTTTCCACCAAAGAACAGCTAGCAGATATGTTAACCAAGCCCCTGTCGAAGCTGGCCTTTCTGAAGCAACGAGACAAGATTGGCGTCCGAGATTGACTGCCATCTTGCGGGGGTGTATTGGGTAAGGATGAAGTTCCAGCTAATTAAAACAGAATAACAAATTCTGTTATGTAGATAGATTTATGTTACGTAAATATAGGAGTG